CCCTGGAACATACTACCCCCTCCACCCCCACCCCCACGAAATATCCCCCCTCCACCTTCACAATATATCCCCCCCCACAGAAAGTATACCAGCACCCCCAGGTGCCCCTCGCTACTCGTCCAGCACCCGCCCGTCCCGGCCCCCAGCACCACAGGGCATCTTCCCCAAGTACAAAAGGTTTCCCAGTGTGGAACAGAAAACAGACTGGATGATGAAGGTCCTCCCAGGCACCAGCTGACACAAAAGTACTCACAGCAGAACTTCTGACATGGCAGTGATGTTCAAAAAGATTTGGAAGTGTAACAGATTCGCATAAGGCAACTTTAAAGGCAGATAAGACACGGATGGTGGACATTTTGTTTTAGTCATATTCAGTGATGATATCCTATAATATGGTCATCAGACCAGCCCACCACCTTCAAAAAGCTAGTTGGATACAGAGATGCTGGGATGGTACAGTGGGCTTTGTTGGCCACGTTGCAGCAGTTCTTTTGGTTAAAAATTTCTACATTGTTATGATGTTGTTGCTATTGTAACTTGTATCTATATACATATAACAGTTACATGTAGTTCTTAATACAGTTATAGCCTACACTTCAAGTTCAACAATCATGTTGGAAATTGTTCACATTGTGAATGACAAGTGTTCCTTTTCTACCAACAGCACAAAAATCATGACCTACTGTATGACAAATTTATAAAATATTTTACTAGCCTTGTACATGCATTATACTAGTCTGGATATTTGCCTAGTGTGTTTGCTATATGTCCTGTCTCAAGACAATTTTATACCAGCAGAGACTGTAGATTACTGACTTATAACAAAGCTCAAAGGACTTCTATTCAATGCAATTTGTCTCCCTTTCTCTAACCATTCTCTCTAAGTTAAATAGTTGATCATCCTGTTTATCTGGTGCCACTGTCCTCATGAACTCTGCTAGCTTGTACACATACTCCGAGTTCCTCCCTGCACTTCCAGAACTGTGCACTATCTGCTGTGACATGTCTTCTATGGAGGCAGGGCCCAGATAGTGTGGGTTGTTCTCATTTTTAACACTAATGTGAACCATCACACCAAAGGGCTGGGTGGAGGAGTCTACTGGATAGAAGAGCACGGACTCCTTGTAGTAGATGTCTTCCCTAAAGGCCAAATGCTCCAGAACACTGTCCAGGTTGTCCTCTGGAAGTTGATATGCAACTCCCCATACACAATCCTTGTACAGAAGTAAGAAAAAGCAGCATCTATTACTTGCCTAATAGATGTTTAACTTGATCAAACATTCAGCATTCCCCCATGGCAGAGTTATCCCGCGTCAATACGTTAGCCTTGGATCCTGGCCCAAGGCTAACGTATTACCGCCAGATTGCTCTTGCAATGGAGGAATGAGACAAATGCTGGTACGTCTTTAAAGTTGGATGATAGCAGTGTAAGCAAGTTTAATCCTCCTTGGTGTAAGATTGTGTAACACAATTTGATATTGATTCACATAAGATAAAGAGCAAACATTCTTCAATAGTGGTAGGTATATAAAATACGATATAATTTGGTCCAATTCAATTTGGTTTTGCAGTACTTTAAAACTTGTTCTCTAGCCCCGATGGACACTCGCGATCATGTCGCTCGAGCGCATGGGTAACCAAACAAACTTCCAATGGCCCTTACCTCGGGGTCCTGTACCAGTGTCACCACCCTCCCTGGCTGAAAGGAAAGGAATCAAATTTAAGTATCCAAACTAGCTACAGTAAACCAAGCAGGCATCAACTGTAAAGTATGGGTTGCAGAGGTGCTGGTAATAATTTATCATCACAAGGAGGATGTAGGCCCCTTTCGTTATTGGTAAGAGGGTTGCGAAAACAGAAGATCCTGAAAGGTGATGTTTACAGGCTTCTTGATCCTCGATACAAAAGCAGACAAGGTGCTAGCCGTGGACGACTCTGGTACACCTTTTTGCCATGATAATGCCGGCATGCAAAAAGGTGTACCAGAGTCGTCCACGGCTAACAAGGTGCAGTTTTTTATTATCTAACGTCACTTGTCTACTTCAAGTGACGTTTAAGTCAGATGACCCGCCCAAAGTCACACTTAGTCTGTAACAACACGAATCTAATGAATTTCTGTAAAATTAGATACTGCACAATTTTACGTGTCATAGTTTAACGCCATGCAGTTTCACGAATCCCTTTTTACGTATACGTGTCATGGCGTCATTTTACCTTGCCGGGGTTGCCTCGATAACGAATGCTTCCCTGCCAAAATCGACGAGAAAACCCTTTGATGTGACCTGTCATCTTCTTCTGGTAGGGAAAGTCCACGCTCCAAATGAGCGAACCATAGCCGAAAATCCACATGTGTAGCCCAAGTTCCCAACCCAACACCCCCGAGTGTTCGCACCAGCTGACAGGTGTAAACCCGGATGACACTGATCCTGAACTTTGCCACGAGACGCCCTCCAGCGGCCTCATCGTGTATTGCACCAACATGATCTCACATATACTGTATATGCCCTGTATGATGTATTCAACAAATATTTGACCCCCTGATAATTCAAATGCAATGTAACAGACGTTGATGCGAGTTGTCCCTGTAAGTTTATGATCCAATTATTTTGCTTTGCTTGCTTTTATGTTTGCTAAAGTATTGTCATTTATTACTCAGCTCATTTGGTCTGTCTCAAATTCCCTTTCCCTCTTCAAGGAGCCAACTAGTACTTGTTGGACTAAGGATTTCCCCAGCTGCCCCTTACAAGGCCATCAATGTGTGGGGATAGCCCACTTTTCTGTACGATGCATGATTAACAGATATAACAATGAAGAATGGTGCATGCTGAGACACATTTAGGTGAGGGGTTATTTGAAAACAAGGCAAGTGTTACAATACTGACAATGATCCAGCGTGGAAAAAGTCTCCGCTTTGAATCAAACCTTGCATTCTAAATATAATTGTTTCAATGGTCCAGTTAAAAATCCCTATCTATAAAACATAGACCACCAGTATATCAAGATCCTACATCTTACTACTGGTACTGACATGGCACTGGCAAAATCATTAACTGACTACCGGTACCTTATTATTGGTAAAAGTTGGATCAATAAAATTACACATACATCCACTTTACAATTAAAACATAATTGACAAATATTGAACAATGAGTAGGTCTTTGCTTCAACAGAAAAGTTAAGAAATTACCAAAATGTAAAGTGTACATTGTCAGTATCAGTAATAATAACCATAGCTGTATCTGTTTCAATCCACGGGTATCCTTATGTCTGATGTACAATAATCTTAATACTGAGTGTTTCTAGTATTACATACAGTTATTATGACTCTGAGTCTCTATCTCTTTAACTAGTCTCTCCAGCTCAAATAAATGTGTATCTGGTTTGTGTGGCACAAGTGTCCTCATAGCCTCTGCTAGTTGGTAAAGATACTCTGTGTTCTTTCCACTGGGTCCGACTGAATGAGCTATCTGTTCGGCTATTTCACTCAGGGGTGCATCTCCTAGAAACTCTGGGTTTGTGTCAGTTCCTATGTACAGCAGTAAAGTGAAGGGTTGGACGGAGGTGTCTGCAGGGTGAAACAGGACCGAATGTTTCGTGTATCCTCCCTTCTCTCTGAAGTCCAAGTGCTGGGAAACACTGGCAACATCGTCCTCTGCTACTTCGTATGCAACTCCCCATACAGATTCCTGTGGATAACACACACAGAAATGTGAGACATTGGCAATGATCAGTGTTTAAGCTTCTTCCTGGACATGGAGATGCTTTCTACTGTTTACAACAAGTAATGAAAGCAGAGGGTAAAACCCAAACATCCTACTGTAATTACATGTAAGGGTGACTCAGCAAATCTGAGTAGATGACTATGTCATCTATACCAAGTGATATGCTTGGCTAGTTCCACTCCTGTACACAATCATTTCACTATAAAAATACCAAGGTAGATGTTACATAAGATGGCCAGTGCATTTAAAATACGGCATGTAACCTGTCTCAGCAGATCATCATCTTCATCCACATCATCATATTCATCCTCGGTGAAATAGTCTACATGTAAATGTACTAGTAATCAATTCATCCCAAAAGGGTCATAAGTCACATGAATACACATATTACAAGATTACCCTTATTGTGAAGGAGACCAGAATATTATCTAACGTTAAATATATCCAAGGAGCTTATAAGCTCCTTGATATATCTAAGTTATTTGTCATCATGAAAATGCATACAACCACGAGAAATATGACACCGAATGAAAATGTTGAATGTTTTACCTCGGGGATCTCCACAAGAGTCACCACCCGGCCGGGCTGTGGGAGACAGAATAGGCAGTGATTTGCGAGACATTTTCCCTTTAAATTCACACTGAATTCAGTCTGCACTTACAACAGATACAACAGTTTAGAGTGGAATACTACTCCGAATAGCATACCGCTCTTTTCCGATCGGTTATTTATAAGTTATTTTCTTTTACCGAGTAACGGTACCTTGAGCCAAGGACCCGATTCTAACCAATGGTGAGACCATACCCTTACGTTATCATAGGTAGCGCACTAACTTTTAAACCCAGTTGTTCCAACATACAATCAACAAGAATAGCTTTAATACGGCTATATTATGTTTAGGGGACAACGGAATCTATCAAGCGTTCTGAACACCGCCGCGCCGGGACATCCGGACATCTCCGCGTGCTACATGATTCGGTTTTAACGTTAATGGCCCGTTACCTTTCCTGGTACACCGCGGTGGTCTGTGCTCCCCTGCCAAAACCTTCTCGCAAAACCATTGATATAGCCCGTAATCTTTCTCTTATATGGAAAATCTACTTTCCAAGTGAGAGAGCCGTAGCCGAACACCCACATCCTGGTAAGCAACGGTCTGACACTGACCTGCGCTGATGACCTTTAATACCCTCTTTCTTTGGCTGTCCACTTCTAAATTTTGTAGTGCCTTCTTTATGACGATCTCTATTTAAAAAGGAAGTAATTAAATTTATGTGAAATCTGTCTCTACGTTTTCATTACTTTTTTCTTTGGGATCTTTATTCTTGTAGCCATATCAAATATATAACGTTAAGGTTTTTATCAGGCACTCATTATTTGGGGCAGCTAAGTGCACTGTTTGCTGAATACAGAGAGGAGGAGGAGGAATATTTCTCTCCCATTTGATGCTGTCCTACAGTTGGGGTTGGAAAAAAAAGAATGTCCACTCGCTGTGATCAATGTGAGTTACACACGAAACATCTTGGACTGATAGTGCATGTAGCTGTAACATTATATATTCATATTATTCATATTGCAATATTATAATGATCACTAACGGGAGGGGTCCTAAATTTAACATTACCAAATTGACCTGTTGCTTGAGGAAAAATTGCAGTGAGAAAAATATCCTCCCGATATCTATATGATATGTTATGCAACATATGTTTTTCACATGTACTACATCAGTTTACATTTGTAGATGCATACAGGATACAGGCATGTACAAAGGGTCAGATGAAAGGATAGGATGTGACGGCATATCTTGTGCGCCATTGCTGTTATCTAGCAGAGGTCTATACCAATTAGCTTGCCCACTTTTAATCACTACCCTGCTGCCTATGAGGGTTGTCTTGTATGCATTATATGTGACCAAGGAGGTTTAAATAATTGACATTTGTCAAGGACTCAAAATGTGGCACAAAGAAAAATTTAGATACTCGTATCAAAAGCTAACCGTTGTCAGTTCCACTGTTTCAATTCAGCATCCTATAGTTTTGTATCAGATCATGATTATGCCTGTGTAATCTGTGTATGTCGAATTATGACCTAGCATATAATCAGTGGAGGGGAATGGTAATGCAGCAATTAATTCAGCACAGGTTAACATGCAACCAATGAATGGTCATGGTTCTTGATATAATTTAATAATAGCTCGGAATTGTCATTTACTAATTGGCATGACAGAGAATATTTTATTGGCCAGCAATGTTTTGTCATTATCAAATGACCAGTGCATATAAAATCAAGGTCTACATTACATTTTATTGGCAGATTTTAAAGAGAAAATATTCCCAAAGAAATGGTAGATCTGTTGTGTCCTAAGCTCATACTGCAAGCCCCCATGTTTGTTGCAGTTTCTGCTAAGGTACGCCTTCTGAATGATTATAAGACCAGAGTTCTCACCGGATCAGCTCCATCCTCCCTAACAGATGTCTCCAACACACTCAAGTACTTCTCACAGACTCTCCTCAGGTAAACCTCTGACTTCATAACACTAACAATAAAGTAACATAGTCATACAAGCCCCAGGCATAAATTGTTGACTAACATTAGAATTCCCTGCAATCTTCACTGATGAAAGTTGACTTTTGCTCTGATTTACCTGTAATCTTTTTATGTGTTTATCTAGATTATTTACACAAAGGTATGCAAGAATTGTCTTAGAATCACAATGTAATTATTTAGATGTACTTTTCAGTTTGCTCCGAGATGCTCCAGTAAAGGTGTCCTTCCAGGAGTCTGAAGGATGGGACAACACCTCGTTCCCTAACCTGGACTACCAGGGTCTGTTTGGAGAGCTGACCAGCCTGTTAGACATTGTACCCAGAATTCAACAAGGGCAGCAGGGTACGATCACATTCCTATTCCAGACATATCCGTCGATACAGTGGACTGATGCTTTTATTCATGCCAGAATAGGAAAAGCACATTTGGTTATACTCAGGTATGACAAATGTGCAAGAATTGTACTTGTTACAGTTGCTTAAGAAACCCGTGGAAATGACTGGGTTCATAGTCCATTTGACACCTTTGTACCTTTCCCAGGCCTGGGACATTCCCTGCTGCATACCTTGACATGCCTGCTCCCATTCCTGGACCTGGCAGTCCTGGATACATTACCTTACGCTATGGCATCAGCTTTTACAACTTTCCCAGCAACCCTTCATGATGGCATCATGACACTTCTCTGTACCAAACTGCTGCCGCTCACATTGGGTAGGTACCATTGAATGATGTATATCTATATGTAACACAGTATTTTCAGAGCTATATTGGTTTTGGATGGAACTCTATATCCTTTTCCTTACTGTAAACTGCACTGTTTTACATTTCTTCAACTGGAATACCCATACAGGATGACTTGTTTTCTAGGTCCAATGCATCCTTCCACCTGCCCCAGCTATACAGAACTTTCTCTACCTGCCATCATCATGTTTGTTTGTCTCTACTCTCACAAAAGAGGTAAATCAAATAGCATTCTCCAATATTGTATCAGCATCTTTCCAAGAAAGAACATGTTACATAAGGAAAGATGCTGGTTAATGTGTGGAGGTCAAGTAGTTATAAAATCACCACCATGGACAGAGTAGCTCAGCATGTAGAACATCCTTTGTGTATGCTCTGCTTCTCATGTTTCTGCTGTTTTGTATGGTTGTTCTTTGATTTTGATTTTGGTTTTGAAGTAGCACATCTGTATCAGCACCACGGACATGACCATAACAAACAACAACAGAGCTTGTTCTTGTTAGGAAGGCATCAATAGCTAGCTTATTTCAGATTCAATTAAAACTAGACCATATTCATCATGTCATTGTTTTTATAGTAAAACAGAACTGTCACGACTCATGAGTTGACCATCATTTGATTTTATCTCATACAGTACACTATACCCAACTGATTGAATGCATGATGTCTTTAAAGACTGACCTTTGGAAGGTAAAAACTCTCTTTTTCTGCTGTTCATCTAAAAGTATTTAGTATTCAACATCACTATTCCCATGTTTTCTACAGAAATGTAGATTGGTTGAACAAATGATATGCACATGAACTTTTGCATTGTACCATACAGTTGTGTGGGGAAAAAGAGAAAACTGTAGTGCTTCCCCATGCAGGACCTGCTGACTGTGATAGCCTATGCCCCCCTCCCTGTCCGGGCAGTGTCAGCTCGGCTTCTGTTCCACTACTGGCCACACCTCAAGCCCACCAATTCTGAGGAGATCTACACCTTCTCTTATACTGGTCAGATGCTCTTCTTTCAGTTTTGTTATACCTTGCATATTGTATGTTTTGTCATTCCAATGAATCATGAAATGGACTATCCCACCTGTAACACCACTCTTTATGATATAAGTGAAATGCTTTATCAAGTACTTTAAGCAAAAGGCTGGAGTGCTCTGTTTTTCACCTGTCCCCCATTTCTGTGTTTAGGTTGGACCCCCATCCAGTGCCAGCACAAAGACTGTCCTAACAAGGACCACAGCCCTGCTCAGCAGGTACAGATTTCTGTCACTTCATTTCCCATCTCCTGGCAGTTTTATCTGATGTGATGCCACACAGGAGCAGAGAAAATCCTTACAAATGGAAAATTGTATGCCATTCAATCTGGGTTATCTTGCTGAAAAACATTATCTCAATGATGATGACAAAATGATAGTGCACAACATATATAAATTTAATGTCTGGTGAAATTACATCCTAGCCCTCTTGAATAGCTATAACCGTAGCCTATGGCTTAATATCAGATTTGAAGTTCTGCATCTCAGTCTAATAGCATGCAAGTCAGTTAAGTGAATGACAACAGCATGCCACAGAGAGAAACTGAACCTGACAGCTTGAATGGAAACTCTTTGTTCAGTAGGCTACGTGTTGTCTACTGCAGGTTGTGTTCAGTTGCAGCTTCTCTGCTACAGCTGCTGAACAGGGCCCTCCAGTCTACGTGTGTGGACTCTGTAGCAGGACTATGTCAAGGTACTTCCACTGAAAAGTAGTGTTGGCCCGGTTCTACATGATCCATTTTGCTTATGAATGTACTTTCAAGCAAGTGTATATGTAATAGTATAATAATCTCTGTTATCCCCAGGGAAGCTAGGAAAACAGCATTTCCTGTTCTGTCTCCACAAGGTTTGCAACAACCCACTGCTTTCCTTTCTTCCCTTCAAGTAAAGCACTGCCTGTTCATGTTACACCTTTGCTGCTTAACCCTGAACATATTATAGAGACATACCAGTAGAATTGCTGTTGGATCACTGATATTTTAGCACACAAAAGGTTGATTATATTTGCAATGGCACATACATGACTAATTTTTTCTGACCTAAACCTCTGTTTCAGAGTTTGTCACCATGAAATGCATGAACAAGGTACAATGTTACTAATTTCCTTTTTGATATTGTTAGATATTGCTTATAAATTATGGCTCATTAGTGATAAACTCAGCACTAAAGAGATCTGAATGTAGGTTTATGGCTTTTATGTCAAAGTAATGTCAAAGGAATGTCTGATTGCCCAGTCTGTTGACTGATATTATGTCTGACATTCATCTATGTTGTATATCATAATGAATAAATGACCAACAACATTGATGCCAATTCTGTATCTAGAACTGTATGTCCCATCCACCCACGGCCACCAACACCTGTTTCTCCCCCGAGTGTACGGTGTACCATGGGAACCAGCCTGTGCGATACTGCAGTCCCTGCTTCAGTGGGCAGGGTTGTGCAGAGAGAGGTCATGTGGTGCAGAGGTCCATACCAAACCTCTGGGCTTGTGACAGAGAAGAACAATGCTGTCTGGTGGATTCCATTATCAGGTGTGCCAGGGCTTAATGCCCTGAACACTTTTTTAACGATATGTTGTTACTTATCCTATCTTAATTTCAATACAAGTAAAATCACAACTTGTATTAGTCTTAACTAGCCCTGTTACAATGAGCAGAATTTTTCAAACTTGCAAAACTCATATTCAAGGTAACTTCCATGTTAGATATCCAAGGTATAATCAACACATTGTGTTCATCCCCAGCCTGTTGAAGGAGGCCCAGCCCATCACAGACAAGCGGAGCTATGAGATGGGTGACCCGTACACCCCGCGACCCTGCCAGCAGGAGCAGGACCAGGCAGGGGCTGACCAGGAGAGGACAGGAGACCCCATGCTGCTGAGCTGCCACGGCTGCTGGCTCCTGGTGGGGCTGTGTCCTCCATCTCAGGAGGCACAGGTGGTGGGTGATTTTGTAATCAGTGGTACTTTAGTAAACTGAAGAAACATTTCATTTGTACCTGTATCTGACTTTCAAACTGCCATTGTTTATCTGAAGTTTGTTAAGACCACATAGTTGTGTCTACTAGCATTGACTCAAAGAGATATGTTGGTTGACATGCTATGTTCCCGTAATGTTGTTCTGAGGATTCCAAGGCTCTAATCACCATCATGATGATTTTACAAGACAACAACTGAAGGAACAAAGATACTGTCATTCTCACCAACTACACATCAGATTGTGACTGTATCCTATCATGTTTGTGTTCTGTAGGAGCTGCTGGGAAGCCTGATCTCCTTTGTGTTCAGCTGGTACGATGCCACGGCTTACCTACCTGAAGGTGGGTGCTGCATTTGTCATCAATGTTGGCAGTGTTGTTTGCTTGTAATAAACCTCATGGATCCTGTAGAGTCATGTTCAGCACAGGGAAATCATGTGTAGAGCAGTTTTTTTTTAATGCCTGTTGAAGAGACATGTTGCATGACATTTCAACTCATTTATTGTTGTGTTTCTACAGGTACTGTTGGATTGGTGATTGAGAAGCTGAAAAGTGAGGTGAGTACACAGCACGACAGTGATTTTTTCACCTATTTCACATCGTTATTTTTCTAGAAACAAAGTCTGGTATCAAATGTATTCCAAATCTTGATAATTTGACTATTGTGTTGATGACATCTCCTGCAGTACATGAACAAGTGGGTTGAGGCAGTGGTGAACAGTTTTCAGGACATGGTCATCTCCTGTCTGCTGCCCCATCCACCTGCATACGCTCGGGTTGGGGGAGTCTGGTGAGTATATCAGATGGGACAGTTAAGAAACAAAAATGCAGGGAAAAGTAAAACAGTTTATGATACAAAGAAGAGATTACCGGTACTTAGTGATACTTTTCTTTCACTTATCTGTGTCAGGGCCAAGCAATTTGATCTCAAAACATTTTAACAGCTACCTGCGGTAGTATTAAAATTTAAAAATTAGATTTGATCCAGAACTATACATCAGTGGTAACCCATGGAACTACTGCACTTAGAACCCACCTCAATGATAAAGAAATGCCTATCATGTAATGTATTAGAGTCTTGTCTGTATGGTTTTGGTACATGCTTTACATGCTGTTGTGCTATTTCCCTGTAGTGCTGAAGGTAATGTGTTTTTGCATGAATATATCTACTATTTCAAAGAACAATCCAACAGCTTGTTATTGTACCTGTTATACTTGATGTGTCCCTGTGTCAGCATGTAGGAGTGTGTTCTGCCCTGGACTGTGTGTAGTACACCATGTTGGTGCTGTCCTCATCTGTTGTTGTGCTGGTATGTAATTGTGATGTGTACTGTTGGCACCTATTTGTTTTGTCATTTGCCTTAATTGTTGCCTTAATGTTACATTGAAGGCCACAAATGTTGTAATCTTGGTATATTGTTCTATGTCTGTAAAGCTTCTCTATCACATTTTCATATCTTTATCTTGGAAGTCATGATAACTGCACTAAAGTCTTGTTTTAACAAACCTGGATTCAACTTGTTCCCTTTGTAGGGAGACCCTCTCCAGCAAGACCACTCAAATGAAGGAAGGCCTCAACAGGCTCCTCTGCCTTACACCTTACAATGTGGTCACCTTCCAGGTAAATACATGTACATCCTTCTGTGACATTGCTGATAGTGTTGTAAGGGTAACTTCAACATTACTTTGAAATTTGAACCTTTGCAAATTCTGATAGCCACTCATGCTGAAAGAGTGAGAAGCCTAGTGAGATGAATAGAAAACATTGGACACATTGGACATGGTATCCAAAATTGATATGTTTCATGTAAAGTTACAGGAACAACTAAAGAATAATTTCTCCTCATGAAAACATGTTATCTCTCCCTTTGCCAGGTGTGGGACTCTGTGATGCCCTACTGGTTTGAAGCCATATTGACAGAGGTAGAACAGGATGATTTAAAGGAGCTCAACGTCATGCTGTGGTAAGAAATATTAATGCACCGGTAGTGTACATGGCTTTTTTACATCATTCTGTATTGAGATACATGATTTATGTAAATATCGTAGGATTCTCAGTTGAATCTTTCATCATCTTATATTAAGTCAGTCTGTTAATTTTTCCTTCCTTTGATTGCATTCTTGCAGCAAGCTGTTTGACATCTACATGGGAACCTTGCCTTTCTCCATTGAGAAGATGTTTGCCTTTATCGGCCGCATGTTTGTGAATGCTACCTTGGAGGTGATAGAACAGGGTCTCCTCTGGCTCCAGGTAAATATTTCTCTTCTCATAAACAATCTCAAACCTTTCCTGAGGGATTCCAAAATGGACCCTGATGGTCCCTCTACTCTCATTGCTGCTACTGTGCCTCTCAATTGACAGAACTACATTTTATTTTGCTATGTTTTTTCCAGCTCTTGTCAAAGTTTGACATAGTGATTCCTGTACGACTGCTCATTGGGGAGTTTCTGGATGGAGCCTGTTGTATCGTCAGCAGTCCAAGAACCAGTAAGTCTGTATAACAACAGTACATGCATGCTGTCATACATATACACAACAGAACAATCTTTATGTTCTTGTGCAATACAGTTATTCGCAGTGGGTTGTGTTTGGGGCTATATAACTCCAAAGGGTTATGGAACTGACAGCTAAATTGGAGACAAATTTTGAAGGGACAGTTACCATGCAAGCTAAAAAGCAATAGCACAACATGATACAGTAATTTTCTAGCTTACTGCTGCATTGGCAGAAAATGTTTGATAGTGACTGAAACGAAGGTATTGTATTAACATGACTGGTACTTTTTCTAAAGAAATGAACAAGAATACTGAGAATGAAGATGCTCCACTACCCAAGGATGAGTCAAACAAGACATCCTCCAAACATCCTGACAAAGAGCCACAGAAAACAGCCCCACCACAGCCCAAGAAAGGAGTTGGGAAAGGGACCACGTCTTGGACCAAGCAGAAGTCAAAGAATGCAGATGCTTCATATTCTCAATTCAAAGAGTCTGGTAAAGCAGCTTCCTCTCATGTCAAGAAGGAGTCAATGAAAGGAGGAGCATCTCAGAACAAGAAAGAATCTAAGAAATCCAGTTCTCTACCACCCAAGAAGGAGTCTCACCCTCAGTGTGACAGACAGGAGGGTTCTCCTGTGCCAAAGGAACAGAGGGATCCAGAGACTGAGCCAGAAGTGAACCAAGCACTGACAGAGCATCAGAGGAGCATAAGATGCCTGAATGTCATGTTGGACCTACTGTTAAAACAGGTTTGTAGGTTTTGCTTATGTTCAAAGTTTGCAGCTGGTGTTCGGCACCATGGAGATGGAAACTGCCCCTGACACTGATAGGCATGGAAAGGCTTTTGACTTTTAACTACTCAAGTGGTAAAGTGGATGTATGTTCAGTACCATGGACATGTACCCACGAGAAGGAGTTATGATGTGGATGTGTGTTCAGTACCATGGACATGTACCCACGAGATAAAGTTGTGATGTGGATGTGTGTTCAGTACCATGGACATGTACCCACGAGATAAAGTTGTGATGTGGATGTGTATTCAGTACCATGGACATGTACCCACGAGAAGGAGTTGTGATGTGGATGTGTGTTCAGTACCATGGACATGTACCCACGAGAAGGAGTTATGATGTGGATGTGTGTTCAGTACCATGGACATGTACCCACGAGATAAAGTTGTGATGTGGATGTGTATTCAGTACCATGGAAAAATATAGGTATGTGACTGTTGACATTTACTTTTTGTTCAATCTTTGCAGGATGAAATACATAATGATTTGGTGGACATATTTCAGTGTTTGAAATACATTGTACCTGTCTGCAGCCTGCAATCTGCAGATAGATTTCAAAGATTGCAGAAGAAAAATTTATACAATCTGCAATTTTGCAGCAGGAAAAATTGGCACTTGGGAGTTGGTGCTCTTGACCCCAAGGACATACAACACTCAAGCTCCTGTTCTGAAACAACAGGAGCTTCTTCACTAATTTACATCAACCTTGTCTTGACTTGTCTATCTTTTGTTTCCTTTTGGACTTCCAAAAATTTGTCTTCACTAATTTGCATATCAATCAATAGTTCATGCTTATAAACCTGCAAGATTGTAGTATAGAGGCTTGTGTATTTGCAGAAAGTATTTCCAAATTGCAGAACAAAATTTTGACTCTTCTGCAATATTGCAGAACACTGAAAAAAAGTATTTCGACCACTGTATTTATACATAAAAGATAAGTTGCATGTTCTTGTTCGATGGCATTGCTGTAGATGGGCATCCAGGAGGTCCACTTCCTTCACAAGCCGGACCACCCCAGCTCCTGTGACATCCTCCACCTGATCATGACGATGATGGTTGCCATGGAACCGTGTCACCATGACAACCAGGAGGGCGAGTGTCTGACCTGTGAGTCCATGGCCTTGTGGTTCCTGCTGGCTGAAGATGTCCTCACAGCCATCAATCCTAGACAAGAGATAAAGCTGGAGGTAGGAAGAATGTACTTGTCCTGGCTTCTAAATATCTGTGCTTTTGTACTTTGGACGACAACTGTAGATGATGCTCTGAACATATTTCTTTAGAAATACTGTTAGACTGGGACATATTGCATGTTAAACATTTAACATGGGTTCATAAGTGTTTCCTTAAAACCTCTGTTTCATTCTAGCACTGTGATGACCCAGAAAAATGCCTGACAACCGCTGTGAAAATGTCCAGCTCTACCAGCTGGACGATGGGCTCAGTAGACAGGGATGCAGATGCACTGACACAGTCATCTGAATATGCCAGAGGGGGGCCGCCAAGGTAATAAATGTTGTAATCGGATAGATGTCACAAACTTTGTGTCTGTGTTTTGATAATATGCATTGCATGGCCATATATAACAAATGTCATTACTTGAGTGGAGATTGAACTTGATACTGTGCTAGGATATATGTGAGGGGATCTTTGTTGTAGGAGGAGATGATGTTAAAACTTCCTCATGGGATTTCCGCCTCAGAGCAGAGTAAGAGCGAGACAAGAAAAGAAACGGACACGGAGCACAAAAAAGACGACCGGACACAAAAACTTCAACTCAAACATCTCTAGTTTATTCTTCGAACGTCATCGAACATCATCGATCCTAACGTATCCGTACGATCCTAACGTATCCATACGATCCTGACATAGCCGTTCGGACGTCGAACGGACGCTAACGTCGCCGTTCGAACGTCCGAACGGCTTACCTACTGTAGAAAGTAAACACCTTTCCTACACTCACCGCCCTAATAAGTTTTCGCCGTCCTCGGCGAACGATTCATACAAACATGTCCTACCCTACATATACATCATTATGTATACTAGTTCTCAAGTCACCATACAAGCTTTAGACATGGAGAAAGGCACTCTTTGTTCTACAGGCCAACATCCATAGAAGAAGAGACTGAAAAACAAGATGAGGAGAAGGCAGAAGATGTCCAGGTCCAGGAACAGTTGCCACCCAACCTTGAAGATGTAGACATATGGACAGTGACATTGCCTGAACACGTGGTGCATGTGAAGAGGTTCCCACCTGATGTACAGCTGATGTATCGCCTGCTGCATGTAAGAGTTGACAGGATATATGGATACACCTAGAAGAAACTTAACTTGAATACCGGTACATCACAAAGTGTAAGACTGCTCACAAGCCCTCTGCTGATCAACTTCAGCTGTTGGAAACATTATTATTCATAGATAGTAAAACATTGCTGCATGTCTCATCGTGAAAATAAAAAGTGTTAAACATATCACGCATAATACATTTCTTATCTCTAGAGACTGTTTCCCCATTCCTTAAGATCTGTATTGTTGGGAAGGGCTGCTCTTCAGGTAATTTACAAATAGCTACAATGTAGTTACTGTTTTTTCCAACATTGTGTATGATGTCTTCATCTGTGTTACTGTAGGAGCTTGGGAAACATGATGAGCCCTGCATCGTACAGTACATCCTGTGCTGCCTGCACCGCCTCTGTCTGAACAATGACTGCTTAGCCAGAGTGGCCAATCTCAGTCTGCCATTTTTCCAACATCTTCAAAATGAGCTCCTCATGCCCAGGTGATTTCTGAAGAGCCATAATTAATTACTATTTTATGTATTACATTTGTAATCAATACTATTTTCATTTGGATGTTTTCATGTAACTTGTGAGACTACTTAAGTAGACTTCCTTCTTGTACAGTGATATAGTGCAATTAATTTGAGGTACAGCTTGAAAAAATCAAAGGATTCACTTACTAGTATATGTAACAGAATAAAAGATCTGGTGATGTTTTACTCTTGGCTATCAAACAACTTTGTTGCAAGTTAACCAATGAGGACAATTTGTTGTGTGTCAAATTGATGGTTTACCTTTTAGACTGTGGGAGCTGCTGCAGTCGAGGGATGGCCAGATGTCCAGGGCTTGTGTGAAATTATTACAGTACTGCATAACTCTGCCAGAAGGAGCAGACATTGTCTGGAAACTTGTGCAGTCTTGGTTCCAGTCTACAGAGTGGACCCTACGGTTTAGAGCAGGTGAAGCTTAAAGAGTGTTAACAGCAAATGTTAACTGTAACATCAGGAGTTGCGTTGCCTATTGTGGCATATCACTGCTCTTTTGTCAGAATGTTGAACTCTTTTAGTTTCAATTCAGATAACACAGTTACTGTCAAAAGGCCTTGTAATGTGGCTAGTAGGTACAACCCAGTCTGCTGCAGTTTTTTTTTTCAAAGGTACAAAGCTGTTAAGTTGCACACATTTTTTACAGGGTGAAAAGTGTGATAATGTATCTTTCTGGCTCCCTGTGTTTTCTCAGTTGAGAAAGTGGCAGTTCTGGCCAGTTTCCTGGACATTAAGCAGTGCTCTGGTAACCTTCTGCTGAAGTCTGTTCTGAGCCACGCCTTCATCCACCTGGTGTCTCACCTGGAGGACGTATGCCCAGCTGTGTACGAGCGCACCAGGACCAGTCTGGAGGACATGGACCAGAAGGTGGTCAAGGTAATTAACACAATACCCCCTACTCTATCTGTTCTACTGAAGCCATGAAGCCAGTAGGATGTAGATTGGTATGATTTCTCCCTAAGAAGGGTTTTTTTTTGTTCTTTGCTCTTAAGTAAAATCCTTGCCAATGAAAACAATTGCCATTGCCAGCAAGTGCTAGGCAAAAAGTGGTTGGCATTTGAGTGATTTGTCTACTGATAATTTGCATATGCCTTCAAATAATTTGCATATACATGATGTATACAAAAACAGCAAACTTATGTTGAAGAGGTCTCAATAAAGCTAAGGTAATGATTATGATGCCCTCAGGTTGGTACCTATAAGAATACCTCCCCCACACACACTGTTGCAGTTCTTGTGCTCCTGTATGGAGACCCAGTTTGACCTTGTGGTGAACGACCGTCCCATCATCCTCCACTACCTGTACGTGCTACACCAGCTGATCCCCAGGGTCGGGGTCCTGTACTGGGAGTTCTTCGTCAACAGGTTCGACATCCTGTCCATCGAGTCACAGACTGACATGAGCAGTCAGGACTTCTTCTTCCCCATGAGTAAGTGTTTGGTATAAAGTCCCACCTGCTACACCATGCCATAGCAGAGAGAAAAATTACCACAATCTTTGCTTTTGATGAAAATAGCTGAAGTTGTTAACTTGATATGTCTCTCAGTGTCTTTTATTTGTTGACTTGCCCGCGTCAGGCCTGTCTTGCGCACAACACAACATGTTCAACATGAGCGATGCCTTCACTCTGAGGCTGAAGAAAGCACACTTTGCCCGCACACGTCATCACAACATACGGTCACTGCAGATGAGCTTTTCAGTCAACCAGTCACCTCAACCCTCCTGCATGACCAAGAGAAGGAACAGAACACCATCTGGTGGGTTGTTGACAGCTGTTAAACTCAGTCACACTCCAAGTCCTCATGTATAGGCTATGTAAATAGTAAGTGATGATCTTGCATTGTAACTGCTGCATAATATCATCATGAAAATATGAGAGCATATCACTTTTTTGGGACTCTTGTATATTTAGTAAAATATTAATTCAATTTCTGAACGTGAGAAAAAATACAAATACAGTCATAAAAGTTACAAACATTAACTTACCACTGTTTAAAGCTATGGTGGCACCATGGCATGTCACACTGTTATATTTCAAACAGGGCATGTCTTTGAAAAAGAACTGTCACAGTGATTCTCTCAAGTCTGGTTTTTGGTCTGCAGGTTTTGTGGAGACTTTTAGCCGCCAGGAGCTGGAGCGTGGATCGACAGTCAGGTTGGACCTGGGGTATCTGGCAGAACAACTGCTGTTTGACTTCCAGAGTTTCAGTAAGAGTGCTGAGGATGGAGAAGACTACAGTGACTTGGACAAGGAGACTGTGTTCTCCATTGTCTCTGTTATGATGAGGGTAAGGTTTGGTTTTTGGCACAGTCTCCAAGAATACTCCCCTACTGTGCCCAAACAAATCAGTTGGTTGCAATAGGAACAACCCTTCATGGTAGACAGATGTTAGATTACTATCAATGATTACACATCTACGTATTCTGTGCATAATTGCCTTCTGTGTAACCTCTGACAGTCCTGATATTTGCTGTAAATTTCCAGTTTATGACAAACCTAAAGTACGACAGTGACAAGGATGACATGGCCAGTGGTAAGGCCCTGAACACCTTCGTCCGCTACCTGCACCTGCTGGTTGGTTACCATCAGCAGGAGAAGCGCTTCGTCCTGACACCTGCCCAGATGCGCTCCTCTCCCATCTTCCGCTCCCTGCTCATCCATATGCCCGAGTGTCTGGACAGGAATGTCAAACTTGGTTAGGACACATACAAGTCGCTATTTGGTGTTTCAATTTTTTTAAAGTTGCAAAAAGTTTTGAGCAGTTACAAACCCATATATCATACTTTAAAATATCTTTCTAGAGATGTAACAAGCTGGTATGTTACTTACAAATTTTCTGAATTCATGTATTTCAGAGTGATCTCTCCGCTATTCCCTATGTGTTGCTGTAGGTAAGCAGGTGGTCCTGTTGATGAGCCGTGTCCTGTGGTACTACCCAGCGGTGACTGCCCAGGGACCAGGAAACCACCCGTCCCACCTTCAGCCTGTGGACCCTGGACACGCTGGACAGAGGAACTGGCTCATGGCAGTCTTCATCATCATCTACAAGGTGTTGTCATGTCCTGAGACTTTCTGGTGTACGGACTGTACATGTATGATGCTGTGGGTGAAGGCTTCTCACCTGCCTGGGTTTTGTGATGATGTGTTGCTACCATCATGTTATTATCACCAGTCAACATTTTGAAAGTGTGGCAAACGTAGTTGAAAGTTGGTGGTACCTGTGATCAGTATCATAAAGTAGCTTTGGTAGAAAAGTGTTATTTTAGTAGCCATTTCCATGGTATTCATGTGTGTTAAAAGGTTTCCTATTTCAACACCTAATCACCCTACATGGTTGATGTTCTGTGTACCCCCTCAGTACCCCCTGCAGGACGAGACGTTGTGCAGTTTGGTGAAACATCTGGTGCAGATCACCCTGAACACACTCCAGGCACAGCACCACCGCTGTCAGCCTGGCGACCTCAAGGCATCGGCTGCTCACTCCTGTTCTGAACAGCACAATCTGGAGAGAGGTACAGATTAATATATTTAATGCATGATTATTTTCCAACAAACATGTTATGAGGTCCTCTTTGGAAACAGCAAACCACTTTCATGTCTTGCACATCATATGTTGCCTTACGCATTCCCACACAGATCTGGCCTACATGGCTATTACAGAGGAAGAAGACATTGACGACATTGCATCACCAGATGACATCCTCCTTGACTCTGACACAAAGTCAAGTCTGTTCCATGCAGTCTCTTCAGTCACCAGTGACCTCTACAAGGTGACCTGAGATCTGCAGCAGCTGATGAGGAGCATGAGACAGGAGCCACAGGGGTGGACAGGAACCATCCACTACTCCGCCGTACCCAGGCAGTTCAGGTAGAAGATGATTGAAGTGTGATGATGAGGGGGACAAGCTAACGTTGAAGAGCCCAATGACAAGACGTAAGCTGCTCTGGCGTGCCAAGCGTCAAAGGTCATTTGAGGTGTCTCTGACAGACTCTCACCCAGCAGAATCTAGCCTGGCTCTCCATGCAACCAGGGCGAAAAAGAAGGCGACATGGTCCAGTACACGAAGTACAAAAAGTACCAAAAGTACCCGTTCAACTACAGCAAGCAAGACCAGCAGCAGTAGTACCAGCACCAAGGTCAGGAATCTCATTCAAGTATCAACTGTCAGCCAGTTCTTTTCTCCCATGTTTTTCCATGGTTTATTTTCCTTGCAACATTGATGCAAGATTGCCCAATATGTACTGCAGGGGAGCACAGGGAGCAAGGGAAGTAAACAGAGTGTTACCAGTAAGGTATCCCACAAGTCCAGCAGCCAGTCTACTGGTAGCCGCTTCAGCACGGTCACACAGCCCAGCATTCATGAGGAGGACATCATGGTCACCAGGTGAGCTTCCCAATCGACTAGGACTTCTTAAGTGTATATAACTCCTTTTTTTAGGAACTAGTTTTGGGAGTGCTGTTGTACTGACCATTTTTTCCCTGTCACAACACTGTGCACAGATGTACAGACTGTGGAGTTGAGTTGGAGAGCTATGACAACGAAACCATTGGGCTAGGCATCGTGGTGCTGTCTACCTTCCTGCACAATCATGCCACCCTGGCTGTACCGTACCTGAAGGAAATACTACAGACTGCCGTCACCATAGCAGCCAACCCTCCAGTCCCCTGGCTGGTGGGTCTTCTGTTCTCAGACAAAAAATGTAATGATGACTGTAGCTGAGACGTTTGCACATGAATATAGAATTAGGGCTGTATCAAATGCACATATTCCCAGAATCTACTCCTTGTTGTTGCTACTCTAAAGGTTGGAAACAAAGTCATGATCTTAGAATTGTATTGCACCGCTAAAACTTTTTGGACAACCTGAAGGCTGATTTGCACATTAAGGTACCCATACTGTGCTAAAGGTAAATGTAACTTTGAAAATTGTCCTCCCTCCTTAGGCCAACAGTAGTGTGTCCATACCAGGCAGCTGTACCAGTGTTGCCCTCCAGTTTGTACGCTGTGCCCTCCATCAGCTGGCTCCAAACGGAATCTTCCTGCAGCTGTTCCAGGCACAGGTGGACAAACCTCTCCAGTTCTGGAAGATTGTCGCCCAGGCTCTCACCAACTGTTCACAGGTGGACACACTTAAAGCTCTGCAGGTAAAACAGGATGTCTTCCTCTTCTATATACTTTTTCTGCCTGTGCATTTTTGTGCCAGGTTTTCCTATATTACGTGAATTAGGTCTTCTGCTTATAATCACTGGAACCATTTTCTTAGTATCCTATTCAGTATCATTTTTCCTCACTCCATTTATTCAGGGCCTGACACACCGCTACTACAAAAAGATGAGGCATTGCTAATAAGCTGTTGATTGTAACCCCTTCATGTTAGTTCTTACTGGAAGGTGTGAACAGTGAGAAGACCATGAGCCAACAGAGCCTGCTGGTGATCCTGACTAACCTGGCCTTGTACATGGACAGTATACCTCAGGACCCGTCAGCACAGTGGGCTCCTGTCATTGCACAGGTAAACTGTTACAGTAGTGTATTCCCACCAATGCCAGACCATCAGTGGTTGTATATGTGATTCAATTACAATCACCCATGGCAGAAATATCTATTATGTATAGGTGAGTTGTACAGCCAGTTAGGTAACATTTGTAGTTTTTTAGACCAGTATACTCCCTAGGAAAGTTGTCTTTTTAGTTACATGCACATGTACCTCAGAAGGATACAGCACGTGTCATGGTGTATAATAAAGGAGCACTGTGTTGTTTTTTCTGCCATAGTTCCAGCTGTTCTTCAGTGAGCTGCCCAAGCTGTTTCCGCCAGGTGAGGACAGTGCTGCGACCCTGCAGGTCATGCTGCTACTGCTGAAGATCCCTGCACCTGCTGCCATCCGCGGGCTGCTGGAACCCTTCTCTAAGTTCCTGGTCTTCTGCATGCGCAGCTGTCAGGTGCAGCTGCAGCAGGTGGTGGACATCTGCGTGCAGAGCAACCTCATCTTCCCCAGAGACAGGGAGAAGGTCGGTCAGATTACAGCCCAACCAATCAACACCACAGGACATCTTTGTAGTGTAGCGGCATCTGAAATTTAACAACAAAACCTGTACTTTTGTATGCTCTTGCCACATAGTACCTACCACGGTTCCCTTGAACTCGTCTTCATCATGCTTTCAATGAACTGTCTTGTTAGGCTGAATAAGTAGCAAGTTGCTTGAGTAATTACCTTCCTTGTCCCCAGGTGCACCTGTCCCGTGCTCTGGTGATGGAGCTTGTCCAGGCAGTGAACATCGGTCCACGCTGTCTGATAACAACCTGCTGCTGCTGGTGCAGTTTGTTTGTTTTGTATTCAGGCACCAGGATCTACATGCCCTGTCCTCAGGGCCAGCAGCAGGCCCACCCTATCTGTCACGGACAGACAGGTGACAATTTTTCACATGATATAGTAGTATTTTGTTGCATATATCTTAAGATGTTTTGACGTGTGTCATTGTGCTATCTTTTCCTATTTCCCTTCAGTTCCCAGACTTGTTTAGAATATTACAATGACAACAACTTAAAGATTGGTTTTGTTTTCTTGTATGAAATGTGCTGCAGGTGTGATTCTATGGCATTAAGAACCCAGCTGATATAACTTATATTATGTCTTGTATGGCAAACATGTCACCATATGACTTTCTTGTACCATGATGTTGGCAGGTGCTGTTGAATGTCTGCATCAGCACATGTTTGACTGTGTGGAGTTCCTGACCAGCATGCACACCATTAGCAAACTGAGGGCAGTCCTGAAACTGCAGAATCTGAGTGAGGACACACTTGGCAGCCAGGTAGGTGCAGTGACAGAAATGACACAAAACACCTTTTCTTGCTTAACCGGGCTTAATGGCTTAATAGAATATGGTTTAGTCTATTTTAATGTGTGCCCAATGCAGAAACATGTAGTGTTTCCTCTATTTATTTTACTGTTGATGTGTTTTCCTGAAATTTGACTGCTTGCCCATCACAGGTAAAACAGGCATTGCCCAGCTGTTGGCTGTAGAGTTCACCTTGAACAACCAGCGAGCAATGACTCGCTTCCTGCCATGGCTGGCGTACCCCGGCATCAACCCCCAGCCAGGGCCTGCGGGAGATGTTTGAGTGCGTGGCTCACCTGCGCCTCCTGTCCTGGATCATCCTGGGCTCGCTCAACCACATGGCCATGTGTCCCTCCTCAGACGTACCCTGCCACCCCCTCCCTCTGGACACCAGTCTTCAGATAGCTGACCTGGCCCTGGTGGTCCTGGAAAGCTACCCTGAACACACCAAGGCCAGCGTCTACCAGATGTCATCTCTGGCACAGGTGAGGACTCACCAGATAAACTTGTGTCTTCTCTACTATAGGGGAATCTCTCATGGGCTGTTGTCAATTTGGACAATGAATGAACTACCAGGTATTGTGACATTTTTATGCCGTGGAAATTGCAGTAACATCAGTGAAGTAATACAAAAATGTGTTGAAGGTATCATTTCAGCTTTGTTTGTTTTATTGCATTACCAGTACATGTGAAATGCATGTGAAAACACCTGTAGCATGTTATGTTTGTTTTTCTTGTGTTTGTAGGTATTTATCCTGTGCCAGCTGTGGACTATCTACTGTGAGCAGGTGGCTGTTTTCAACACCAGCCATGGAGACATGTACAGGACCACCTGCCTGGCTGTCATGGAGTTCTGGATGAAAGTGGCACCTACCTTCATACAGGTAACATAAGGGGAGGGTCTGAACGCATACACAGTACACATGTAGTCTGTGATTACATAATCATATTATTCCTAAGACTTTTATTAGTTGAAAAGAAAAAAAAAAGAAAACTGTAACTTAAACTTTAATGGGAGGAAATTAATTGCAGAAATGAAAATATATTATGATGCCACAATATAAGCAAAGACCTTTCTACCCAAGTCCATTATCCTATCAGAAGGCAAGTATTAGAAATTTGAAAAGTTGTCACTCGTGTAATTTTCTTCCTAGATTGCCTCCTACTCCAAGTCTCATGGTGAGATGGTGAACCTGCACCTGCTGAGTCTCCTGGAGGGGCTACAGGAGGTCAACTCCTCCCTCCTGGTGCAGCTGTACCCCATGCTGGTCACCATACTCTACATACATGAAGGTTCACTGTCTGCAGGACTGCAGCATAGGATACAGGAGATACAGGTTGCTACTGCTACTCCCTTCCACTGGTGTTTGGTGTGTGTGAGAGAGCATTGGTCATTGTATACATGTATTTGTGCTTGTATTGATAGAATATACGTAACATACATTATCATAATGTCATAATAATTGATGTAACTGGTATAAGGATACAGAGGAATATGTTATCAGGGACATCCACTTTCTCACAGGTGATCCTCTGTTTCAGAACTGCCCCCCTCCAGATCCCATCACTCCGGAGGCCAGAGAATTAAACAAGGCACTACTGAAGTGTCTGCAGCGGCTGCAGTACAAGATGGGACAGCTAGAGGTCCAGTCATCTGCTGCCACACAGTTCTTCACTGTGTAAAGGGTGGTTAGTTGGGACTGAATTGTCTGCCTCACACTTCTGTAATGACAGCTTTGGCTAAGTGATCTCATGTTACTGATCTCCTACAGCATTGATAAACCTACATTATTTGTCAATTAGATGGAAGCAATGAACTGACTGTCAAGGCAACAAAAGACGTGTAGTGCTGTATGGATGTAGTAATTAAAGTGTGGTGTACCAGTTATTGTGTGCATCGGTGGTACTTTTAAGACTTAAATGCAGTTGTAGAATGTAATATACCCCTGTACCTGAGATAGAGACTCCTGAATTTGTTTGGCCATTGATCAATCTGACATTTGGTGTAGACATTTCACATGCAGCATTGATATTGAGGTTTGTATATCTTGTGACATGATTGTTGATTGTGGAAGTACTGTCAGAAATGTTGTCCATGATAAGAGAGAAGAATAACAAAATTATATGTCATAATACATAATAGTTATGATATTGATGATTCTACTTGTTGATCTATGTTTGGTAGCATATATACTTTATGATGGAGATGTGCTGTGATTAGTCATGACCCAGGAAACATTGGAGAGCACATACATGTTGATGGGGCATTATCACATCTTTTATTGTTGTATATGTGTGGCATATAACAGAAGGAAGTAAACATTGTACTTGACATCCATTGTTTTTGCCATTTGTTCTTCTGTAGGGGGTAGATCAGTACAGCCATCTTTCATGTTTTTTCTTGTTTTACACAGTGATGCAAACTGATAAAATCTCTTCATGTAACACCTAGATGTCCCTAGAGCCATGCAATGACATTACTTGACATATGGATTTCGTCACATTTTGCACATTGTTTGATTTATTGCCCTGTACACAAAGCATTGGATGCAAGTTGTTGAGAAAACTATGACCATGATACCCAGTGATGAATGAAAACTGATAACTACTAACTCTGGATATGGTTGGAGAACTTAACAGTATTTTTCTATCTGCTCGTGCTCATGATGCTAATTTCCCCATAAACTACCACTTGTTGGAAGGTGGAGGCATGGGCAGCCAATACTTGATTTCTGTGGCTCCAGGGTCGTCCTTAGCGTGCCAGTCAAGGTCCCCATCTGGGGTCCAAAGCTTGGTCTGATTCACCTTCCTCTTCTTGAACCACCTCCTGTGGAATTCAGCAGAACACAAGCATTTAGAATTTCTACGTCATGGACCCTTCCTCCATTGATCCATATCGAGAAACTTTTTTTTAAAACAATATTAGTATGTCTGTGACTTTGTTTTACTTTTGTTGCATATGATTTTGTTAAGCTTCTATAGAACTTTGAGTGCCAATGTTACACTACATCAACTATCATGTGGTACTTTTGATACTATCCGCTGCCTTTCAACCACGTCTTTAACAAATGTGACAAATTCAAACTAGTTGAGTTCCCAACCTGCGGTTGTACAGCACCCATTTTTCCTCCATCTCATTGCCATGTTCCTCGCACACCTCCACGGCTTTATCCACAAATTCACGTCCAGTTTTGGAGTCCCCTGACAGCATGTGGAAGTACGCCTGATAGTGGAGCCACCGCGGCTTTAGCACAGGAAAGGCCAGGCACACGTGACCCAGCTGTTTGATGGCCTAGATCGTTTAACAGTCACATCACAACTATTACCAATGACAAATAAAATGGGAATATCACATTAGACGGGTTCACTTTATCAGTTAGTGCATGCTTTGCAAACTCGTTTAAGTACCAACGGTATTTCAGCACCGTGGACATACCCATTCAATATCTGCTGTCCAGTCAAAAAAATCTCGTCCCTACAGCGAAATTCGCAGAAGAACTGTACCAAGCTATGCAACACAGTGGTCTAACTGACCTTTTCTGCCTGTTTTCTCATCAGCGTAACTTTTAATCCCAGCACCAGGGCGTTGCAGTAGGCTAGCAGTTCACACTCCACCACCTTTGCATACGCGTTGGCAGCCATGAACGTCTCCAGCCGTGGCGGGTGGATGGCTTCTGCCAACAGGAACCAACTCTCGGCTCGGTACCAGTTCCCTTTCCGTGAGGCGCTGGAAGTGACCATACAATCAATTTTTTTATCAAAATCAAATGCACATGTTTGGTTTGAAGTACAATATGATGTGCAAGTATGCTAACATCTCACCAAAGTGCCAGACCAGCTAGCAAGTAGAATCGCGGGATGGCGTCATCCATGAATGACGGGTCCTCGGCCGATTCTGACGTAAATTCTACGCACTCTTCATAATTCTCCAGAACAACTCCTGTCAAAAAAGTAGAACGTCATCAAGAACACAATTTGTCAAATCCTCAGAGTTTTGAAGGTCTTTTTCTTTGTGTGCAATATACAGTAGTATAACACAACATTATTTACAGTGATCAAGATAAACATTTGTGAAACCTGGCCGCGGTGACAATATCTATGGAAGCAATAACGTTCGATTGAAACGAACGGAAAACACATCGTGTTATCGTGCATGCTCTGAGATCCGTGACGAGAATACTAAGACGGAAAGACGAGTTGGAGAGAACCTTCTTCCAGCAGCAGGTCCAGGCAGCAGCAGTAGTACCACGCCTTGCCAATGGCGTCCTCATTTTCCTCGGAAAGGTAGAACAGCTGGCGAACTACTTCCACACTATCACGTTCCCTGCATCGCATATAAGTAAGTGCTGTAGCTATAGTCGTGTCATAGCACTTAATCATTCGTTGTAGCCACATGACATCCAAAAGAGGTGTTATTGTGTCTCGTCACAACGTTATAGACACAAAAGTAAAACGTCTGAACGTATGAATCATCTTCATAATTTCCTCGGGATGGAAGCTGTTCCCAAATTGCTGTTCGTAGCAGGGTATGATCACCACTAAGGGACTGGCAATGACACGCATGATATATACAACACACTTTACAAAGGTGCTCTTGGGTCTGGTTAGACTGCTACGATTGGTGGTCGTGCGAACAGTTGTACTCACCTGTTAGCCAGCAGCAGTGCCTGTGCCAGTAGCGGGAGACACTGAAGCTCCATCGCGTTGTCGTGAAGCCTCTCGCATACTGATTTAGAGTGGTAGCCTATTGGGAATTCAATGTAGGAACAAAGTGTCAAAGACAGACTTTCACTCTTTTCAGGTCATATCTAAAGATATTCCTTTTAACATAGTGCAGAATCAATCAGGTTCTTTACCCGAATACTGCTCTTCTGTCCAAGATATTAGAAACAAACGTACCCGTTTCACTAAAGACAAAGTTATTATGGTCGAGTGTACGAGGCTGAAAAATCAAGGCCTTTATCTACAAACCTGAGTCTACAGCAGGATGAATTTTGTCCCCTTCCCAGCCGGAGGGACATGCTGACGCTGAAGAGGTGCGCCAGCGTGATGAGGTCATCAGCCACTAGGCTAGATTCCACCTCCTTGCATCTGTGACGGTGTGTAAATAGACGGTTCAATACTTCGGCAAAACGATGGTATACTGTAGTGTCTACAGCCTATCATCGTGATGCAGCCCAGTACGTCAAAGAACGGCAAAATATAACTTACAGAGATTAATCACCTTTTCAAGGCTTTCCTCTCGTACCCTTCTGCAATTCTGGACCAGTTCATCAGCTGACAGTTCTCCATGATTGCGGTGTAGGCTGTAATCAGCTATGGGGATACATATCACTGTCAAACTTGACGATAATCTAAATTCTAATCCTACTTGTATTTAGACATGACGTTTTATTCAATGGACATCGACACAATCAATTTAACCATCTACCCCTGATTTCACCTCACTCTACAAAATGCGAGTTAATCAATGTCCTTTCTGAGTATTCCACTTGAAGAGCCCCTTACCTCGTGTAGGTCGTCGTCCGCCTGCTCGGCTGCATTGAGCTGCTGCAGGGCTGCGACCAACGCGCGCCTGTCCTGGTGAACCATGTGGTAGGCATGGGACACGTGGGACAGACACCGGGCCTGCTCCACCAGCACATTGGCACGGGCACTCCTGTGACAGACAAGTAGTTTGTGGTAAAACAAATACTAATGCCCCTTGCCATGCATTATAACTATATAAGGTTGGATCGACCACGAGCAATTAATGCAGTTGTCCTCTTTCAACGTTAAGAAATACCGGGATATTTTCGTCTCCTGTACACAACTTTCACTCCACTAAAGGTTAGTACAGTTTTTCCTGAGGTGGAAAAGGACGATGCCATGATTTAATGCAGAACAACTTGATAACACCGGTCCTAAATCCTACATATATCCTAATTGCGACGTTAGAGGTTAGCGAAAACTGTCTCATTCCTGGAATTCTCATTGCGGTACATTACTGACATACGTGGCTTTCCCTACAAACTGCGCGGGCCACATGACGTGCAGGAGCTGCCGGAAGCCCGAGCGGAGCAGTCGCAGACTGACGCCAGCCTCAGACGTGGGCTGGGGGTTACCGAGGATCTTCAGCGCTCGATGGAAGTGTGGCATAGAGTCCTCAAAACGGTCCATTTGGAAGTAAGCCTAGGACAACAGTCGATAGATATTCAACAAATCGGACAAAGAGACAAGAAAGTGAAGAGAGGGACAACCTGTTTCCGCTTACTTTAATTCTGTTTCATATGGAATGCATTGATTTGTTATGAGGCCATAATACGTTCCCGCATCACACATCTCACCTGGCCCCTGAAGACTCTCAATCCTAGCCCTTTCCTCCCTGTCAACTCTACTGGTCATTTCTGTCGCGTTCTCCAGCGCCTTGCGACCCTTAGATATGGCCTTCAGCATGTCCGACACTTCAGACAAGTGGGAGAGTGCCTACGAGCAAATATTGTACGCTCGCGTGATTGAAATGTCTTCCCATGGATTGTTGACATGAATCGTTCTATACTGTTGCAGGCAGTACATTGGACTTGCCTGACGTACCAAAGCTGTCAACAGACCACAGTGGAACTTTTGACGTCTGTGTTATCATAACTGTATGTAACGACATGCTCTATGCACATCTGGCCATTGAAGTCTTACTTCCATGTTGTTGTTGACTGACACTGCAGCCGCCGCTGATTCCACCAGGAAATGGACGACCTTCGTGACGTTTCCGGCGCCCTTCCAATGATGTAAGAGTAGCGGGTACACGGAGGCCAGGACCTGCAGGCACTCACAGCCGCGCAGATCAATGTCCAACTGCTTCCATTTCTGCTCCATCTCAACTTCGCTGGCAGACCTACAGGCCAGGGCAAGATGATCGATCACGTTCAGACACAGATCGACTCGCAGATCGTCCCACCATTTCAGATAAGCACAGCCCATCTTATCTAGAGCCTTTGCATTGACAATTTTTACGCACAGCAGCAAACCTCAAGATCAGCATACTATTGTAGCGTACTTTAAGGTGTCATGGTGTCGACAAGTACGAATGACAGAATGCATGTAAATGAACCAAGTAGTTTGAACCGAGTGTCATGGAAGCTGAAAGGTATAAAGGAAAAGCCATCCAAAATAAGGGGAAAGAAGGAAAACTGAATATGTGAACTGAATATTCTGGCATGAAGGGTGCGAACGCTCCTCGCCAATTACACAGGGCCATATCTGACGAGAGTGCTTGTCATGTCAGCTGGAACCAAAGATAACTGAAAAGTCCTTACCCGAAAAAGCCCGCGCTGGTACGGGATTTGCTGTCCATGCTCAATCTACTGCCGCTCATTCTACTTCCGAAGGAGGTGACGCTGCCTGCAGCGGTAATAACGTTTCATAATACACATGGCGCGATCCTTATTTCGACGGGTTGTTAGTTGAGATTAATATTAAATATCTAGGACTCATTAGAATATCTAGGACTCATGCATTTCTGTGACATCCCGCCCACCCGGGGTAGCCTTGAATTATCATAAGACAAAGACTGCCACTTACCTTCGTCTATCGCCTGGTTGCTGAAATTGGAGGACCTTTTAAAGTCCTGTGCCTTGAATCCCCTCTCCATTTTCTGCACTCGACCGGCAAATGAGCTCTGTCTGCGGCTCCCCCCTCCACCAGACATGCGCTTTGGGCCTGCGCCCAGTGCACTTGGTGGTTTTTCTATGGAAGGCCGTTGCTTCGATTGAACCATTTTGAGAGATGCGTAGGATTCCTCCGTGCCGGTGGTTGATTGCACTAATCCAAGAGACGGTTTTTCCTGTTGTTTTGGTTCAGTGTCCTTTTGCGCTTGCGGTCCGTGATAATGGACAAAATCCCCTCCACCACAGGCCTTACACTTGTGCGCCTGCCCCTCCAAGAATTCGCCGCACATCTTATGTAGGGCTTTCCTCTGGTCCTCAGTGAGCAGCGCGTAGGCCGTCTCCTGGATGAGCGGAGATCTGAACCGCAGTAGCCTGCAGTGGATGTCCACAACGACTGGGTTGGAGCGGTTCCCTGACGGGTATACCAGGAAGTTTTCATCTTTAGGATCCTTCACACAACGGCACTCGATCTTCTGGGACGCTGCCAGGTGCGCGTGGTGCTGGTGGACACGGTGCTCCTCGTCGTCCCCGGCGGCGCACTCCAGGATCTGACACTGCATTAGCGACTGGACGGACGCGCGCACCTGCAGGGGGAAAGGTGTCGTCATCAGAGTGGTGACGATGATGATGATGGGCAGTATTTGAAAATGTGCACTGTATTTGTACCTGATTTGTCTTGAATATCATGAGGCGAAGAAACAGGCTATAGATGGTCCATCAAATTTTCCATGGATTACGACATGCGAATGTAATGGGTTCGGGATCCTGGCCCGCGAAATACAATCCAATACTTAGTAAAAAAAGGGATAGTCCCATACAACACAAAGAAGTACATACACAAAAGCAAAGAATTCTGTTTGAGTGCACTTGCCTATACAGTTAATCTCTACCAGATGAAAAAAGAACGTAGTACTACCTTTTTTGTGTTGTACTGAGGGATGATGGCCTCCAGCATCCTCCTGGTGAAGGTCACGCCGATGACCGAAGCGCACTTGGCCGCCATGTTATCGGATGTGTTTAGTCTGTCCAATCGCGCAACCATCATATCTGGAGATCGTTGTAACATAAACCGAGTAAAAGACCCTTAAACAGACACGAAACTAGAAGAAAACATAAATTTTAACATGAAATCACAAAACAAAATACTTGTGTGAATTAAATCCTCAGCAAAGCCATTGGAGCGTACCTTTAACAGATTCAGGTAAGTTAAAGTCATCCAGATTGACCCCCGAAGCAAGGATGCACACCATCGTCGTTTCCACCACTGCTGTTGTACGGGACCCTATCTGACTTGTACTGCCGCCCATCATGGTGTATGACGAAGCGCCTGTGCTTATGCTCCGCTTCCGGATGGAACTCCTATCAAAATACAAAAACGACCCCGTCGTCAATGTTGAAAATGTTATTTAGTTGGCTGGTGTCGGGAGGTATTACTAGTAGAACCGGATGGAAACATTCCCATGAAATCTTATTTCCCAGTACAACTCTGTTCCATCCTTTTTTTCCAATTTTTTTTTCTTAGACTACAATCAATAGTACTAGCCCCCAACACAAGACAAAGCTGGCTTGACCTCTCCAGAGCATACCTTTTGTGAGACAACCGACTGTAGTCGGGCGGTGCGTCCTCCATGTGGACGATCTTGATGCTGCCCTGGAAGTAGAGATGACGGAGCACCTGCTCACACCAGGATGGCACGCCGTGGCTTCTCTTCTGCAGGACTCTGTACAGATGGAACGTTTCATCATAAACTAAACTTTTCAGTCCAGGGAAAAGTTACATGCCTTTTATTTAAGGACTATCCTATTTAGAGCTGTACATATTATCTATAACCATACTATCATATTTTATAACTAGAGAAGTAACATTTGCGAAGCAAATGCATAATGTTTACCTTCGGACATGGCCTGCTCTGTTAAATCTTACTCAAACACATTCACAATAAATGTACTACGAGTAAATAGTGACAGAAGCAGAGCAGACCATGAAATGGCAACATTATGTAACCCAACACCAGTCACCATGGTGTCAGACAAATCATGTCATTGGTCAGGTCAGATGATAGTGTTTGGAACAGAAGAAGAAGAAACTGAGTAAAAACAATATGTTTTCTTTCGGTAAACATAACTATACATTCTAGAACGTTAACTATGGCTATTCACTTATGATCACTGTTTTACACAGCAAAACGTCAATCTTGGGGAGATGAGGCTGGATGTCTTAGCACGATAAGCTTACTCTTTGATCTCCTTGGGGATTTGCGCCACGTCCAGGATTTGGCAGGCCAGGTCCGGGATGACACTAGCGTCCAGGCCTGACAGCTTGAGGTGAAGTGTGAAGGGACTGTATAGCACGCTCAAGGCGGTCGGGCTGGGCATCTTGTTGGGCTGCAGTGGCCGCATGGTCATGACGCAGACCGAGTTCGGGTCCTCTGCCAAATCGGAGATGAACTCCCAGGAGTCGTGGTCGATCAGATGGGCGTTGTCCACCACAAACATGACAAAATTTTCTGCTGTATACTGTAAAATAAATGGGCCTTGATAACAAGCTCTCAGAGTGTCACTCTCGAACCATACAAGCTAATCATTCTTTTTCGAGGTTTCACCAAAAGTAACGTCAGTGATCATCAATGCCATGATTTAAACAAACACCAAGAAATGGGCTTTAGTCATATTCGGCAAACAGGGCAGAAAATGAACTTACCTCGTGAACAATCTTATACAACAACTTGTGAAGCTCTCTTGTTCTCTCCTCACCACGCATGGCTGCTACATGGGGAGTTACGTGGAACTGAGGAAACAGGAAGAAAGCAAGTTAAAACAGGTTTCAGTACCAAGGGCAGATCCAAGTTTTCGCATAAACGTTTGTTGTTTTGTCCCGTAATTATGTAAGACAAGTAAAAGCATGGCGTGCAAAACATGTCTTTTTCAGGACGTCGAAGTGAATCTTTTTCTTGCGTGTATCCTTTAGCGAAGACTTAATGTAATGGAAATATTACTTGGAAAAGAATCTTACCTTGACGTTGATAAGGTCGTTGAGAAGACACAGCTCGTCTGCCACGTCATGGGTGCTTGATGATATTCAACAGATGATGTTCAGCCTCGATGTGTGAGTCCTTACTGTCTATGTCGAACAGCATGTCAATCAGTGTCTTTACCGTGAGGTACGGCGTGTTGTAGTCTTGGATTGTCAGGGCGCACGACAGGACCCTACAGAGTGAGAAAAGTCATGTTTTCCAACTTACATGTGTACAACAAATGTGCAACTTACATGTACGTGTAGCCGTCTATGAAGAGTACACCATCGTAAAAGTGCACGATAGTACATCCATATGTATTATAGTATGACAAGAACAATACATAGATCTGGGTTAGAATCATGTCCGTGATGTAAGTCGTTATTGTAACAACTTCCATGTGTCCAGCAACGTAAACGTAGTGATCCAATTTGTATGCGCATTTCCCAAGCGGCTATATGCAAGTCGTACTATAGGCACGTTCCACCGTCCAGTCGACATTTACCTGATCCCTTCTTCCTCTGCCTTCATGATCACCTCCTCTAGCATACGTGATTTCCCGATCCCAGCCTCGCCCTCGAATATAATGACCCTTCGATGATCCCCCTTCTCTAAGTGCTGAGTCATCAGGTGTAGCTCATCCAGAAACCTGTCAATCTCCTTTTCTCTTCCTATGCACAAAATGAATATTTCCTGTTGGTGGCCATGGGTGGTACATACGATCGACTTAACTTAGGTGTATAATACCACATTCACTCAGAGCGTGTTGGCTGTTGGTCTACTCTTCCCATGGTGGTGTGATGTAGCGATTCATCATAAATCCAATCACGATGAAACCCAGTAATGTATTGTGGCATGAAAAGTGAACTCACCAAGAAGAGGGTACTCCGGCGCCTCGGCAGCATGTGCCTTCCCGTCTCTGTGTTGTTATAAAGATCAAGAGCCATAAGTATTCCAGAAAAATGGTTATAAACAAGTCGTATTATAAACTTTCATATTGTTGTTCACATGTTCACGACTATCGAGCTATTCTCAGCATTCCGAATAGTAGTCATTGGTCAGCCTGTTCAAACTGATACACAAGTAGCGTAGTGAAAGAAACGTGATTTCCTGACCATCTGTTTTACCAGTGGGAGTAGAGTACTCGCGATGGACCTTCAGAATATAGCGCCCGATTATTGATCTGGATGACAATGGCTACCGACCTGTCGTCTCCCAAATATTCGTGCATAGGTGTGGTTTGATTCACCCCCCTTCAGTTCGATGAATGGTAGCTCGTCGAAGGCGTGCCGGGGTAGTTTGGAGTGGTAGTATGTCTCGTTATCGCACGACACTTTGTCCCTGTACGCCATCATCAGGCGCGCGGCCAGGTTCACCTTCCGCCCGATCACTACAGGAGAGTGAAAGATGGGTTGGCTAGATAAGATGAGATGAGATGGCAAAGTGATTGTTCTGTATTTTCAAAGAAGTTCAATCTACTGAAATTTAGTGTTCTACAAGCTTACATTTTGGTTCAGTGTTTAACTAACATGCTGATAATTGAAATAAGCATCAAAGCGTGTCCGATTTTTTGCAACGCTGTGATTCGATGATTGCTCTATTTTAGCTAGCCAAGACATTTGATTTCATCAAGGTAAACGACGTGGCACCATGAGGTACATCAAAGAAGGTTAAAAGAAACCTGTATATTCGTGTCTATATTTGTGTCCCACGACGCCACAAAAAGTAGAGCCTGTCGTTACACCTATAGAGATGTGTCTGAAAAAGGAAAATCAAAAATTATCATAATCTTTCTTAATTGTTATTTTGCACAATTTATCAGTGTTCACATCAATCATCAATAAGGTTAGCAACACATTGTGGATCAGATTGGATCTGTAACACATAGTATGTGGTGTGTAGAACTTATAACTTGATTTTTATGAATGGCTAAAGCAAACCTGACGTTTTCCTTCTCTCCTAATTCTTTTAAAATCTTGCTGGAAGCCTTCAAGACATGCGCACTGTCGTCTTCATGCTTGTATCCAGGAAGCCCGAAAATGGCCAGAAATGTACAGCCCTACAGGAACGGATGGTGGAAGGGGGACAGCGGTCAACATCTCAGTACTAGTCATCTATTCAAATGTCCGTAGAAAACATAGTGCCTGGCATGCTTGAGATAACGATCGTAGAGGAAGGCATGCCCAGCAATCTCTAAACCCTGTCACTGTTGCACTTAAGCCGTATTTATCATCAAAGAGAAATTTCAAATTCAGGCAGAGATCACACCATTGGTCCACCATGGACCGTGCCACTAGTAGCTACACCTTCATGGTACGTTTGAAGATGAGTTACATCTAACACATGCTAAAAGACCATGGGGCAGAAAATAGCCCTTCGATTGACCAGTAAACAAAGTTGAAATGAGCTTACCTTGTCAAACATAAACACCTTATTCAAGCAGCCTGCAGAAAAAGTTACAGTTAAAGAAGGTGAATTGCGTTGCATGTTTGATGCCATGACTTCCCTTACTTCTATGTCATCTTCGGCTTAGTCGGAAAAAGTAAATGAAACAGCTTGGGAGATTATGAGATAGTGGACAATTCAATCCAGATAAAATGCATTTCTCCTCAGATTTCAAGCATCTACTCCTGCTATAAAAAGGGTCAACAATAAGACCTAGAGGCAACAGGGATATTTGACCTTGCATCTTGTGTACGTTGTTGTAGACTATGTCGAAGGCCTCCTGGAAAGCCTCACACTCCTGCTCGTCGTTGAAGTTGTCTTGGTGGACAAGGTTGATGAAGACGACCGACACCTGTCGCACCTCTGACAGGTAAATTAGCGGCTGGTCGTCATCAAGCTGGCAACACAAGGTACGTTCATTGTATAAATGAAATCAATTCAGTAGAACATGGTACTGTATCATGAAATCAACTTGAAGCGATTTCTGGACGATAGCCACGATGACACCAAACGCTTCTGTCAGTGACATCATGAGACTTTTGTAAACAGCTTTTTGTAAATCGGACAGGAAAGATTACAAAGGTCTGTTCACTCGAAACACATCTTCCACGTGCCTTCCTCCAGACAACCATACGTACCTTTTGCAGCACGGGGCGAATGATGTATTTTCTGATATCTTCCATCGCCGAATCGTCCTCTGAATAACAAGCCTCTCTCCCTGTGGTGTACCGTGAGACACAGAATGTCGTCAAATACGGCCCAGGCACTATATAGTACTAACGTGCGCAGATAGTGGGGGAGACATGTCCCCAAGTTGTCACGTCACATTTGTGGTCGTGCGGCCATAACGGCTTATTCACGTAGCGTGCTACTGGAAAGGAAGCCAGGTTCTCTGTTTATCATACGTCGAAAGTGCAGGGGGATTTCTCCAGACATTGTAGCTTCATATTATATAAGGAACAGAGCCATGGACATCCGTGCACCAAGATAATGATGATATTCCTGTCACGACTCCTGAAATACTACATTTTTACTAAACTTAACTTCATTTCTGGACATATGCATATTGCGCGAGATTAAGTCTGTATACAGAGTACAAAACAACACTTCACTGCCATCCACCCCGTGCCAGTCGTATCTTTGGGTCACTTGTTTAAAAAGTTGTAACTCATACGTATCTGAATGTCCTGTGAAGTTGATAATGCACTTCGAAAATGTGAGATTTGACTTACTGATATTTCTCCAAACCAGCTCAGGAGATGTCTTCTGGCTCAAGCCCGAATCACCGGACTGACCTGCGCCGATCAAGGGAAGGGTAGTAAGTACTGCTGCTGAGATTAATAGCTGCATTTTAAACTATTTCTTGTACTATTCCTATGGTATTTTTCTTTAAAACCCTAGTATAGAACAAGTGTGGTTTTGTATCTAGATTGAATACCTCATTAGCGGACACGGCAGAACCAGACTCGTAATTCGCTTCAGGTAAAGGTAGCTAATTTACTTACAACAATGTGTATAATGGTGATACTATTGGAAGGTCTAATAATGAAAGGAAAGACAACGGAGTGTTCACCCTTCTAACAATTTAGGCAGGCTTCATGTACCTGATTTTCTCCTACCGCGGAGACCTGAGGTGGTGGAGAGCTTGCCGGGCGACTTCGGTCGGGCTTCAGAGAAGGAGGAACCCACGGAAAGGGCGCTGGAAATGACGTCTTCAGAGATGATTCCAGAAACCTGCACGTCAGCGGGATGATAAATTTAGGCAGTGTCAATCTATGAACTGTAATCCTCTCTAGTTATTGTCTGTTGTAAGTCAAATTTTGTATGTGTAGCCACTGGCTTTGTACTAGGGACATAGGGAAAATAAACCGAGAAATACTTGAAGGTCACAGTGATTTGCGTGAACACAAAGGTTCCCCAAGAATCGAAGCTTTCACCTTGACGTGGTGTCCATCTTTTCGGAATTCCCACTGAAACCTGGACTTGTCACACAACCTCCACGCCATAGGAGACAGAATGACAGTACCCGAGTCGGCGAACTTCTCGGCCAGATTGGCGTCCGTTACAGACTGTCCCGTCACTGTAAATATCCTCTCCACGTCGTTTCCAAAATGAGTGATCTTCATTTCTCCAGCTGCTAAACCTACACATGAAATATGACATTCGGTGCTTTCCGTCTAATGAAAATGTCATATTATCTTGTATAAAAATTGTTCCAGACAATCTGTCTCTAGAAAAAGGATATATAAAGTCTCCACACCAATCTTAACGCGCAGTTTGACGCCCACGTCAGTCTCCCAGTTGTCGCACACGGACTGAATGTCCAGACTGCACATCACCACTTCCTTCAGGGTCGGACCCAGCTCGTTCCCTGCCTCCACCTGCATGGGGAAATTTCCATATGATCAGTCATGCATATCATCAGAATGCATTTTTATGACAAAGCCCCACATTACAGATTGTGCAAAGGTACCAAACATTTCAACTTTTGCGTTTTTTTTTTCATTTTTGCTTTTGCCAAATCACCACCACTGTAGCTGTAGAACCAGTAGGTGATACTGGAGGAACACTTCCTCCATATAACTGGCGATTGGACAGTAAAGTTAGGGTTTCGTCAACACGTAGTTCAGTTTGACGCGACAACCAGGATTGGAAGATTCTTGTAAAGTGTGCAGAATGCTACACGAGGGGATAAGGGGATAATTACCGTCCACCTAGCAAATATGGCGTCTCCTGCGAACTTCAGAATGTCCCCGCCACATGCTAGGATGCCAGAAACAATCCTGCCGATGTAACTGTTGAGTGTCTTGGTCAGTTGGTCTGTGCCACACCCCTTGTCTGTGCTGTGAGTGTACTTCTCGCATAGTGATGTAAACCCTGTAAAAGACGGTTACGGCGACATTACATAAAGGTTATGCTGGAATATGCTTATGTGAATTATCATGCCTTAGAATGATTCCGCTGATTTGGGTCCAGCCACCGCCAATATTTTCTATCATCCTGGGTTGCTAAATAATTGAGTTTGGACTTCCAACATGGCACAGTTAGTTCTTGCTCTTGGG